ATCGTAAGGTTTAAGGCATTCAACCAGTTGGTTGGCTGCAAACGCACAAACAACTGATACCAAAGATATTATACCCCTTCGGTTTGCGCTTTTTAGCAATACTTCTCCATTTTTGCGGACATATTTTAAAAGCGTGCACCATTTCCTACTCACTGACCACAGGAACAAATTCCCAAACATGGTCTCGAGGAAGCTAACAAGAAAGACCACCAAAGACAAGGGGAGGTTAAGCTGACCGTTGCTGGTTTACTAGATCTCATCAGTCGACCTTGAGGTCTGGACGACGTGGCATTCAAACTCGGGTTCTTGGGTTATTCAGTATTACGTAGTTTAACGCTCTACGACTGAGCCATAGGCTCCTTGTCCCGAAGGTTGAAATTGACTACATTCCGTAACATGATCGGAGGGTGTCTTCCTCCACCACCACGGCGGCCGCTAGCGAACTTTTTCAGTGGAGAGCGGATACATGACTGCGTACTAAAAACGGAACGCAATCTGGCAGGTCTGCCAAAAAGTGCATTTACTTGAAAGCCGACCCATGTCGTTCTCTCGCCCTGTTATCCGACAATTAGGTAGCTCCCGTGGCCGAAAACCAACTCAATATCCGTCCACACGCTTCCTACCACACCGCGAGACCGTGAGGAGACAGCGATAGCGAGCATCTCTAGGTCATCTATGCCGCCACGAGACGATGACACTTGCGTACTCACACCTCCCAACAAAACGCGAGGCAGCGACGATAACCAGTCGTCGGACCCCTCTCCTCCCTTTCCCCTCTGATCCCTAATTATGACTAGAATCTGACCCTTTGATCCCTCAACACCACTTCCCCATAATTAGTACTGATTGGTTGCTCAAACTCTGGTTAACTCTACCCTCCCTTATATTACTGTATTAGCCTGATGATGAATTAATCGAAAACGTTCGTTCGTTCGCCTAACTTGACTTCCTGAATAAGATAGCACTTACTGAAAGAAACCGCGGCGTAGCTGCAACCACAGTTTCCAGAGGTTTTGCGGAGGTGAGCGTGCGTTGGGGATGCAGGGTGGTTGAATCCGAGGGCGGCTGTCGTTGATTGGAGCTGCTGTCATCTGGTCGAAGCTGGATGCTCCTAGAGGAGGAGGGCATGTCCGGGAATGGAGAGCGTTGCATGGAGCTGCTGAATTCATCTGAACTCAGGCGATGCGGCCGCTGATGCTGATGATGATGACTCAGGTGACAAGAGGCCGGATCCAGGAGACAGACTGCGGACCGGTCCTGGCTGCTGAGTCGTCGGGGGAAGCTGGTGACTGAAAAACAAAATCGGATTGAGGGAGGGAGAGAGGGAGGCCGAGGAGGAAGCATGTTGTGCAGGCTAATCTAGTTCAAGAATGAAGACGAAAATTCGCATTCCATGTGTTTGCATTAGGAAAGAAGAAGGCTGATCAGGCACCAGAACAGTTGGTTTATTGTCCTGAGCTTTCAAACTTGTCAGAGGTAACAGCAGCAACAAAAAACTTGGGGCAATTATAGGGCACATAACCCAATCAATTGTCAGCTCCAGACGTGCGTCACTGACAGTTGATTGGTCTATGCCCCCTATAATTGCCCCCAGTTTTTTGTTGCTGCTGTTACCTCTGAGGATGAACTCCTGTACGAGTACCTGATGGCGAGACATAAGTCAGAATATGTGAACCCAGCCCCGCTGAAAGTTCATCTCGAGCGGATAACCTACCGGCTTGTTGTTCAGTTAGGAGGAAGTGTCCACCGAATAGTTAAGAACGGCCATGCTCCACCTGCTGTGATTACGGGACGAGCTACACAGGTTCCACTTCATTTTGCAGCTGACGCTGACTTGGGCACGGCCAGGGTTCGACAGACGGCAATAACATTTTTACTGAACATATCAAAACTACAAATTGAGTCCAATTGTCACCCCCGGGACGGGCCATTTCTGACTTGTTTCCCTGCCGTCGCTGTTTTCTTAATCAGCCAACCCCGCTTCAACCCTAATCGGACATTCTGGAGATGTGAATTTGTATCTACTCGATACCTACAAGCTTGAAGTGAGAATATTTAAATCATGGGGAACATTTATTGTCTCCGAGACGTAGTGCCCTCCCATCTGGCTTGTCAAGGATAAGCAAACCAAAATAACTACACCCGTGTCCCCCCCTCTCCGAGTGATAGGCTTTTTCACAGTTTGTATGTCTGTGTCCCTAAATGTGCCGCTTGGTAGATGCACTGAACTAACACGCTTCGCACCGCGGACTATACTAATCTAACTCCAAAACGGTAAATTGGACCTCAGGTAAGTTGAAGTAGACGACCTCCTAACCACCCTTTCTATTTTTTCTGGAATTTCAAGAAACCTGCATTTTGACAATCGGGTTTTTCCGCAATACGTTAAGCGATACTGCAGATAAGGAAAATGTACAGATATAAATCAACAACATTTCTAGATACAATAAAATAAGAATGTATATAACAGTTATATAAAATAAAATACATTCCGCCGCCAGTCCTAATTCCCCACCCATAAACCCCCTATAACCACTGTTTCCGTAGGAAAAAATGCCGGGACTAGGGGTTTGTGAGTTGCACTACTCAAACTACTGTTGCCCAGAATATGACTTTAAATGGGTGAGAGTTAACGCGCAAGTACT